TTGTGCTTAACAGATGAAAAAAATCAGAGCTGTGAGAGGATATTCTGGAGGAAACGTCATTATAAACTATAAATATGAGATGAATCATGAGAACCATGAGAAATACTTCTGTAAAACTGGATCATATCAATGTATAACTCTAATAAACACTGACAAAGCAGCAGAATGGAAACATGTCGGCCGATTCTCCGTTCATGATGACAGATCTGCACGTCTCTTACGTGTGTTTATCAGAGAGCTGAATGTGGACGATTCTGGAGAATATAAGATTATAGTCAAAGTTTCTGAAGACTACAGTCTCTTCTCTGAGTTTAAGCTGGACGTTAAGAAGGGTGAGCTGCTTTCATTTGTTTCTGTGGTGAATTGATGAATCTCTTGTTTAATTCTTATTTGTTCTATTTTTTCTTTTATTTCTTTATTTCTTTTATTTTATTTGTTTATTTTTATTATTTTTTATCTCTTTCTGGATCATATATAATTGTGCAATGAAATTCTGTTTTTGATAGCTGTGATTCAGGAATTTGTACTTCAATATACTTTACCAACTTATTGACTGTCTGTCTCACATCTTGTTCTATCTGTCCTGTCCTCATTGGAATTTATTGCATTTTTCCAGAGAATCCTATTTTCTATGTAAATTTTTTCAGACATGGGGAGATGTGAGGCATATTTTAAATTTAAACAGGTATAGACAACACCTTTGTCTAGCAACATGGGTGTGGCTTTTCATTTTATTTTAAGTTGCATAATAGGCTCTTGATCAGCTTTCGTTGTTTAAATTGGAAGCTGACTTACCCCTATAGGATTCTCTGGGCACCCCCTAATAGCCTGGATTGGGACCTCCCCAAGGGTTTACTGGGCCCTGTGAAGTACCTCGGTTAGGCTGTTGCCAGCTCTCCCCCCTTCCACCCTGAGGGTACTGTTGCCATGGATAGGTGGGACAGTCATTTTTATTATGTCCGGGCGAGGAGCCATTGTTACATACGTAACCTGAGACGTTTTCACTTAACCTCCTTTCTGAAATGGGCCTCAGATGTATGAATTATGTTTGTTGTATGTGTTATATTTTGTACTATATCTTGCATGTTTAGCATTTTCATCATGTTTTGTTGTTTTAATTTATTTAAATTATTTTTATTTTGAAGCTGCGTTTTAAGTTTACAGAGGCCCTCCAGACTATTTACATGTAAATTATACTGTCGCCCTCTAGTGGAAGATTTAAAATAATGCAATCAAATTGATTCTGTGTCATTTGTCCTTAAAGGCACAATATGTAATTTTCACCGCTAGAGGGCGCGTATTCAAAATAAACAAATAGACAAAGGCGTAGTTTGATGATGCGTGACTGAGTGTGGAATCATGGGAGATGTGGTCTTCATCCCCACAGCCGATGCAATCCGACGGGACTTGGGCAGAAATCATGTTCATGGATGAGCTAATGATTTATTAACGTAGTAGAATGAAGCAGGGTGAGGCTGAAAGCCGTCGAAGCGAAACGAGGATGCTGAACGAGCGTGACACCCGGTTCGAAAGCAGCGGAGCTTTTATTATGCAACAGTCGACCGCTTCTGGTCCTTCCGGTCATGCGTATGTGGGGTAAAGCAGCACTGTTTTATCATACGAGATACATTTGAAAGTTCTGTTATAATGCTACTCTGTGCGGTCCTCACCGGTCTATTAAAACGCACAACATATTAAAGCATCTTTGGTGTTTCCATGTTTTCTACAAAACAAAACGGAAATCGAGGGGTTATGACATCGGTCACGCTGAAGAGCGTTCCCTTAGCGTCCTCCAACGCAGCGTCTCGTTCCCTCGAGGAACCATGGTTACATACGTAACCTGAGACGTTATCACTGTGACCATCAGAGATCTGAGTGAACAGGATTCTGACACGTACCATTGTGGAACTGATATTTATGCAAAAATAGATTCCTACTACACTGAAGTGAATGTGAACGTTATAAGTGAGTAACTGAGACTCTCAAACTCATGATGATCATCAACATCAGACACTCAACACTGACTATAATTACTGCTGTTCAAACATGAAACCCATAAAATATAATAAATAACTTCTACATAACTAAATAATATCTCCTCATGTAATATTGACACTCATAAGTGATCTTGACCTGCATTCATTAATGCTGCAGCAGATATGTTCAACATTTAAGTGATTGGATACGTGTTCATTGAGTACAAGGCAATAGATTATCTGGGTTTGTGCTTAACAGATGAAAAAAATCAGTGCTGTGAGAGGATATTCTGGAGGAAACGTCATTATAAACTATAAATATGAGATGAATCATGAGAACCATGAGAAATACTTCTGTAAAACTGGATCATATCAATGTATAACTCTAATAAACACTGACAAAGCAGCAGAATGGAAACATGTCGGCCGATTCTCCGTTCATGATGACAGATCTGCACGTCTCTTACGTGTGTTTATCAGAGAGCTGAATGTGAATGATTCTGGAGAATATAAGATTATAGTCAAAGTTTCTGAAGACTACAGTCTCTTCTCTGAGTTTAAGCTGGACGTTAAGAAGGGTGAGCTGCTTTCATTTGTTTCTGTGGTGAATTGATGACGGAGAAACCTGGAGGGGGGGGATTGGAAGGAACGTCCTGCCTGATCTGAACCCGAGTTATTGGACTTCCATGCTCAGCATGGTTTTGCCATAAAAAACACCATGTTTGAACATAAGGCGGTCCATAAGTATACTTGGTACAAGAACAAAGGTCTTTGATTGACTTCGTAGTCATATCATTGAACCTGCAGCCGTATGTTCTGAACACTCAGATAAAGAGTGGAGCAGAGCTGTCAACTGATCACCACCTGGTGGGGAGTTGGATAAGATGTCGGGGGAGGCTTCCGTACAGACCCGGGAAACCCAAACTAATTGACCTATCGATAAGCCCCACCCACCTTAGTTACTGTTGCGAACTCGGACAAACAAACAGAGTTGCTAACTGTCTTACAATGACAGCTGTCAGTGTGAAAACCTTGTCCCAAGATGTTTTTGATAAATTTTGGTCACAGAAGGACCACCATTCATATACAAAATATTTTAAAATATGGGATATATAAAAGATTTTAAAATATGGTGTGTAACTTAATTTGTAAGCGAGGGTTTACAGATCACAATGCAAGTGGGAGAAGCCTTATTATGGTCATCATGATAGCAGATGACAACATCCAGGATTATGTACCGCAGGGTAAGATTAAATTCATTTTCATCTAACCAGTTTAATATGGAGAGGCACTGAAATATGTAGACCTTCGTTTATTTGTTTTAACCTGCACTGTACATGACGTGAGAACAGTTAGCTACTTAGTTTTGTATGGACTCACTAACTTTAACGTTAGCTAGTTTTAGCCAGAGATGCCTTGCGGAAGCACAAGATGACATTAACGTTCTGCTTGAGCAGATGAAAATTGTAACTTAATGAAAGAATGACTGTGAGTGTTAACTGGGAACGCCTGGCTGAGGATCCTGTCTGGAATATTTTCATCTCCCACCTCTGGAGAAGATTTGCCTTACTCCCGGAGGAGGCTGGGGACATGGACCCCGAGTGGGCCCTGTTCAAAGCCTCCATTGCGGAAGCGGCTACTGCAAGCTGTGGCTGGAAGTTTGTTGGTGCCTGTCACGGCGGTAACCCAAGAGCAGCAAGAGTGGATTGCCGACTCCGGTTAGGGAGTGAGTTGCTTCCCCAAGTAGAGGAGTTCAAGTACCTCAGCGTGTTGTTCACAAGAGAAGGTAGGTTTGAGCAAGAGATTGACAGGTGGATTGGTACAGCAGCAGCAGTAATGCGTCATTGTACTTGCCGTCATGGTGAAGAGGGCGCTAAGCCTGAAGGCAAAGCTCTCAATTTACCAGTTGATTTATGTATCAACCCTCACCTGTAGTCATGATGAGCTCTGGGTAATGACCAAAAGAACAAGATCGTAGGTACAAGCGGTTAAAATGAGTTTTCTCCGCAGGGTGCGAAGCTCTGACATCTAGGAGAGACTCAGAGTAAAGCAGCTGCTCCTCCACGTTGAAAGGAGCCAGTTGAGGTAGTTTGGGCATCTGGTTAGGATGCCTTTCAGACCCCTTCCAGTGGAGGTGTTTGAGACATACCCAACTAGGAAGAGACCCCAGGGCAGAACCAGGACATGATGGAGGGATTATCTCTCAGGTGGCTTGGGAACCCCTTGAGATCCCCCAGGATGAACTGTAGGAAGTGGCCAGGGAAAAGGATATATGGGTGTCCTTACTCAGCCCTGCGACCCGGTGCCGGATAAGCGGTGGAAAATGGATGAATGGATGGATTGTTTTAAAGCAGCTAGAAAGTGAAGTTAAGTTGTTTTGTTACTGTATCTGGGTGACTGTGTGCCAGCAAACATAAATGTGTGAAAGTGTACAGAAGCTGTAAGCTGTAAGTTTTATTTTTAATGTGCAAAAACGGAAGTAAATGTTCTGCATGTGAGATGTTCATTTCCTGGCATCTCAATGTTACTGTGAGAACATTACTGTCATTACAGAGACAAATGACCTGAATATGCCATATCCATCATCATCATCATCATCATCAGTATCAGTGAAAACTCAAACGATCACAGAAATCACATTGCCTTCAGATGATACAACATCGTCAATAACAGGTAGATATTACTGCTCTAAAACCTCTTCATATTTTCATGTAGTTTGTCTTTCTCTCAATATGAATCTCACATTGCACATTAAAGATATTTTCTCTTGTATTTTGAGGCTCCTCAATGATCTTCATTTCTGAGGTTTCGGTTTTGCACCTAATTTGTGTTCTGATGTTTCTACTGGCCGTACGAAAGAATAAACAGACTCACGGTGATTACATGTTCATATCTTTCATATTTTTTAATTAGTTCACACAGTGCTGAACGTGCATCAGAAGAGTTTCACATTCATCACATACAGTTGAAAGTGTCTTGAAGTGAAAGTGTTTCGGCGTCCTCTACTGGCCTTCACTAGACAGACATGAGAGATGCTGTAGATGGTGGTGAAGCACAATAACTGTTTAAAACAGAAGCACTATAATATAAAGATGAAACTGTCAGGGGTCTGGGTCAGGTGTTTCTCCCTCTCACCACCAGAGGTCGCCATTTCCCATCCTCCCGGACTCCTTTACCTTAACTCCACACACCTGTTCACCTACTCACACACATACACAGCTGTTGCCCATCCTGATGGCTATTTATACTCCTTCCCCACGCCTCTCTGGTCTGGATTATTAGTTGTTGATATGTGGACTGATACAAGCACTAAGTTGCCGTAGTTGTGTCATATCCCTGTTTCTGTTTTGAGCCTGTTGTCAGATTCTGATATCTGTTTGTGTTTCCGTTTTGGTTTTTACTTTGTTTGCCCTTAAGTTAATAAAGACCTGCATTTGGACCCAGACCCTTTTTTACACGGTGTTTTTCCGTGACAGAAACTTGAACTCTGAGTTGACTTATCCTGAGATGGGAAACTCTGAGTTTTTGGGTTAAGAACAGGGGGTATTCCAGAAAGCAGGTTATGTGACATACCCGGGTATGTTTAAGGGTAAGTAAGTGGATAAACTCAGCTTTCGTTTCCAAAAACGGAGGTAACTCTAAGTAGCCATATCAACTTATTCCCTGAACAAAACCTGCTCCGGAATAGGTTATGTTTCAGTGTTAGTTTACTTCAGAGCTATCAGCACATGCGTGACCTTATAATATTATATATGATTACAATATAGTTATCAAATATGCCATATATATATATATAGTTGTATTATATGTTAATTATATATAAGGTAATATTATATTATTCTAATATGTTATCATATTTAATAGCGATATATATTAATTATAAAACACTATTATAACAAGGATGGTGATGTTTACTTTATTGAATGTATGTACCTGCACTGCAAAAAATGCTTTTCTTACTTAGTATTTTTGTCTTGTTTTTTTCAGTCAAAATATCTAAAGATTCTTAAATCAAGGTGGGGTAAGACAAATAATCTTGTTTCCATTTGCATTAATATTATTTTTCTTGTTTTAAGTAAAATGCACTTAATTTAGATTCCAAAATACTCACTAAGAAATGCATTTTTGCAGCGTGAATGAATGAATGAATGAATGAGGTATTTAAACATCGCTTATGCTTTAAAAAGGGGAGGAGACCAAAAGAAACTCTGGGTATAACAAAGAAAACCCGCTCCCGACCAGGGGTGTGTTTCCCAAAAGCATCGTTAGCTAACTATGGTAGTTAGTTCCATTGAAATCGACTGGTAACGAAGGAACTTGCGACCATAGTTACTTTTGGGAAACGCACCCCAGGTTAGGTTCACAGAGTAAGTTACCATGGTAACTGACTCTGAGTATAAGTTACCTCTCTTTCAGAAACGGGCTTGACTTACCCTGCTTTCTCGGGTTTGACAAACCTTACATTCTGAAACGGAAAACCCAGAATTCCCCTCATTTCAGGGTTAACATACTTTTCACTTAACCTCCTTTCTGAAATGGGCCTCAGATGTATGAATTATGTTAGTTGTATGTGTTATATTTTGTACTATATCTTGTATGTTTAGCATTTTCATCATGTTTTGTTGTTTTAATTTATTTAAATTATTTTTATTTTGAAGCTGCGTTTTAAGTTTACCGAGGCCCTCCAGACTGTTTACATGTAAATTATACTGGCGCCATCTAGTGGAAGATTTAAAATAATGCAATCAAATTGATTCTGTGTCATTTGTCCTTAAAGGCACAATATGTCATTTTCACCGCTAGAGGGCGCGTATTCAAAATAAACAAATAGACAAAGGCGTAGTTTGATGATGCCTTGCAAGACCTGAATTGAGTGTGTCTGATAAGGTAAACATACAAAATGTGCAGTGCTGGGGGGTCCTCCAGGACAGGCTTGAAAACCCCTGGGGTTAGAGAATACCCACTGTGCCATGCTGAGGGAATGATTGCCTTATTGACTGTGCAAGCACCGAACAAGGAATCAATGGACCTAGATGCCAGAATCAGATTCCCTCACTCAAGTCTGTCATGGAACTGTTAGTGATGCAGTTCCCTACGGCCAAACCCCAAGCTCCAAACCCATTGCAAGGAAAGTCCTGGCATTTAATCCATTCTCCCTTCCTTACTGGGGTGGGTGCCAGTGTCCATCCCAAGCACAGAGCTCAGAGGTCTGATCATGATCTGATCATAAGCTTCACCTTAGTGTATCACATGACGTGAGAAGGAGCTGCCTACCTAAGAACTCGTCCTGGGGAGGCATCATCGTGTATGCATTTTTAAAACCACACCTACGCCTCTCTGAACTTCTGAACTATCATCTCTAAAATGTGTGATCCAGCACAGCTCAGTTACTACATCAGGCAAAAGAGCAGGTCTGACTGTTAGGCCTGTAACACCGGCATGGTGTGCAACGCACCTCCAGCCTGACCTGCAGCCATGTATGCTCTGACATTCAAATACAAAGTAGTACTCAGCAGTTTAGACGGCAGAGTTCTCCAACGTCAATTATTCTCCCACTGAAAAATAGCTTACAAGCGTCTCTTCAACAGGAGGCATCAGTGCATAACCATGCTTGTGCATGCCCTACACGTTTGTGTAATTTCAGTCATTGAATGTGAGATGAATAAGGCTTCCTCCATTATCTGTCCACCTTGGTGTGAAGATCAGGAAGATTTCAAAGTTCAAAACTTCGATGCTTGATACAGTTTTAAATAACACAGTTTGTAAATATACTACAGCTCAGATTTCACTTTATATTCATTCACAACTGTGTATATTTGCCACGAGTGTTGGCTGTTTTGTGTATTTAAATACATTTTAATACGCTCTGTCTCTCCGTAATGTGTTTCTGTGTTTTCAGATTTCTCTTTGCTGAACATGATTTCTTTGTGTTCGACTCTGCTGCTGGTCGGAGGAGGATTCACTGTGACTGTGTGTAAAGGTGATGCTCGCCTTCATAAACACACACATGTTTATCTAGAAGGCAGATTATGTCTAATAGACCTACAGACTAACCCAAAATGTGAAAAATAAAGGAAGGGGGGATGTATATGAATGGTGTTTTTACAAGGGTTGTATTTAACCCAGCATTTTTTAGAGTGTAACATTCTGACTCAGATGACGCATTTATACTGCACTGTTTACGGGAGACAAAGAAATGTGTAGAGTCGTCTAATGTGATGTCTCTGCAATAGCTGCATGAGTGTGAACGTTTGACACAAAGGTGAAAACATCAACTAAAACACTCCATGTTTACAAACACAACACCGGGAGCTGTTTAGAGGTCATTTCTGGTTACTGACGTCACAGAATTGACCGGTATTTTGAAATGTATGTGTGAATGGTGCTTTACCGGTAAATTTAATTTCTTGCCACATTTAGTAATGAATAACATGAATCCCACACATAGCAGTCTTCATCTCCAATTCAAAACGTTAATTGTGACAAAAAGCAGAGTAGCTTGCATCACTGGATGTTTTTGTTGGTCAAACAGTTGTCGAATAGACCTATTAAATGTTTAGCTGCTTACGTCTTCACACTCCTTCACAGTTAAACCTGAAGGTCCCTGAATTACATTTAAATGCAAATAAATGTTAAAACCTCTTTTACAGTTATTGCTCTCAATACTAATAGATTATCACTCTATTCTGGTGAGTTCAGCTGAACATGATCTGTGACTGATCAACATGGAGCCATTTGACTCTCAATGCTGATACTTTCACACTTCACTTTAGTTTTATTTGTGTCAGACTGTCGTCGTGGTTTGTGGTTTCCAGCAGGTTTTGTTCTGATGTGTCTCATATGAGCCCCTTTAGAGACCAGATTCACTGAAGGAGTGAAAGAGTCATTCAAACAAAGACACTGTGGAAAACAGACAGTGAGTTTTATGAATATGCATTCACTTATATGATATTGAATGTTATTTTATTTAACTTATTGTAATGAAGTTTAATAATTGAAATGCAAGTGTCATTCAAACGGAAACACATAAATTATGTGTATTGAGTCTTCAAATTGTCTCCATCTTAATGATGTTTGGATGAATATTAAAATTAAAATCTTAAATATTTGCACTGTAATATATAATTAACCAATCAGAGACTACATTTGTGAGATGACCATGGGGACTGCTGTTTGCACGTGTGTCCATCAGGTGTCACTGTTCAGAGTCTCCCTCTCTCTCTCTCTCTCTCTCTCTCACCTCTCTCTCTCTCTCTCTCTCAGAGGAAGTGGGCGTCTCTCTGTCACAGTCAGCAGTTTATGTTAAACATGTTAAACAGGAAAGAAACACTCAGAACTCATCTGAACACACATCGAGAGCTTCAGAAGAACTGATCTAACAACAGAGAAGATCATTGAATAAGAGAGAAGAATGAAGATCATCTGGACTTTCACTCTGCTGATGATTCCTGGTAAGAATCTGAACTCACAGTAAATCACTCAAAACAGCAGAGATTTTAACTTCAGCTCATGTTGAATTGACTTGAAGAACAACTTTTAAATTGGTTTAAAACTTCATCTGTGTTTAGTCTCATCAATATATAAAGTGTTTTTAATTCTGGTGTGTTGTAGGTGTCATGAGCTCCATCAGTGTGAGAGGATATTCAGGAGGAGGAGTCATCATCACATGCAGATATGATAGAGAATATACAGACAATGCTAAGTATTTTTGTAGAGGAGAGTGGTCCACATGCTCTGAACTCATCAAGACTGATAAGAAAAGCAAATGGGTTGATTCTGGAAGATTCTCACTGTATGTCAACACAACAGCAGCAGTTTTCACTGTGACCATCAGAGATCTGAGTAAACAGGATTCTGACACGTACTATTGTGGAGTCGAGAAACTAGGACCAGATCCTCACACTGAAGTGAATCTGAACGTTGTAACAGGTGAGTAACTGAGACTCTTAAACTCATGATGATCATCAACATCACACACTCAACACTGACTGTAATATATGTGTTCATTGAGTCTAAAATGACAAATTATCTGGATTTGTGTTCAACAGGTGAACAAATCAGTGCTGTGAGAGGATATTCAGGAGGAAACATTATTATAAACTACAAATATAAGATGCTAGAAAATAATTATTTGATAGACGTCTGTAAAGCTGGATCATATCAATGTATAACTCTAATAAGCACTGACAGAGCAGCAGAATGGAAACATGTCGGCCGATTCTCTGTTCATGATGACAGATCTGCACGTCTCTTACGTGCGTTTATCAGAGAGCTGAATGTGGACGATTCTGGAGAATATAAGATTATAGTCAAAGTTTCTGAAGACTACAGTCTCTTCTCTGAGTTTAAGCTGGACGTTAAGAAGGGTGAGCTGCTTTCATTTGTTTCTGTGGTGAATTGATGAATCTCTTGTTTAATTCTAACATTGCTGCACTTGATTTGTCTCTCAAACAGCTGATTGTTGTGAGAAGAGCATCAGTCTCTCAGCTGCTGCAGGAGGATCTGTGAACATCAGCTGCAAATACCCACAATCCCACAGTGCTGATGTGAAGTTTGTCTGCAGGAGATCTGGATCTGATCTCTGTGCTGAAGAGACGTCTGTGGAGGAGAGCAGAAGATGGAGCGCTGAGGGACAGATGCAGCTGTATGATGACAGAGAGCAGCAGCTCCTGACGGGAACCATCAGTCATGTGACTCAACAACATTCAGCTGAATACTGGTGTGGAGTTCAGTCTGATCAAGGACACAAGAGCTTCATCACACCAGTCCTCATCAGCGTTACAAGTACGGATGATTTTCTCACTCATATTAATCATAATGTAATTAAAAATAAAAACTTGCTTCACGCTTTGTCTTATATCATGTTGCTTGACTGTGTAAAGAAAGTTATCATGATGTTTTTAAGAGAACTGATTCTGTTCATACAGGTTTACCAGCAGGTTAATTTTAGATGTTCTGTCTTTTTAACAGAGCAAAACCACAAACCACAGTTAAAAAGAGGAAGTTTCCTTATAAAGGTTCATGATTGCAGTCTGTGCAGGTTAAAGTGCAGTCTTCTGTAGATCAATGTTGCTGTTGAGAAACTGAACACAGAGTAAAGCAGAGGACAGTGTTTGTGTGTTTCATTCTTCATTATTTAAGTGTCCAGTACTGCAGATCTGGACTCAAAGCTGCAGCATTAGTTGATCATGTGGACACAGTGTTACTGTAGTTTTTAACTAGTTGAAGTGTGCTCATCTGAATGCAGTATTAGAGCAGTTGTTGTGCTGCTGAGAGTCACTGAACCAGTCTTGTTCTATAATTAAGAAGCTGCAGTTAAAGATGCTCGTCCAGTAACCTGCTATTATTCACTGAGAAACCACAGACTTCAGTTACTGAAACTCAAACAAACAGCTCGCAGTTTTAATTTCTGAGTGTCTCTGTATCAGCAAACATGAATTCTGGGTAGTGAGTGTGTGAATGACATCAGTAACACTTATATTTACCACGAGACACGTGATGTCACGTTCTGTGTGTGAAAAAACATCCTTTAGAAGTTCATTGTTTTATTGTTTTATATACAGATGTTTCAGAAACAACTTCACCACAACCAACATCTTCATCATCTGCATCATCACCTTCATCATCACCACCACCATCATCATCATCATCTTCTTCTTCTTTCTCATCAGTCAGAACTCCACTGATCACAGGAGTTTCTAAATCGTCTCCATCTAGTTTTACACCAGCAGGTGCTGAAACACAAACATGTGATTCATGGTTTAACTTGTGAGGAGCTCTGACACCAGAAAGATATTACTAAATATTAAAAAAATATTAGATTTTCAACTATAAAATAAATAGTTTAATTTAATACATTTAAATCATTGATGTATAAAAAAAATAAATAATAACAATCATCCACTCATTCTTGTTTTGATATTAGATCTATTGAACTGAATTAGCATTCTGTAGTTTGCTGTTTGTGGTCTAGCAAGACAACAGCTGCTGTTTGTGTGGCATAAATGGAAACTTGACATTCAGTGGCTCAAAGACTTTTCACGGGCTCAAGGATAAGGTTTATAACTCTTAATAGCATTTCCATCCTCAAAAACAAAATGTTGTGCTATATTTTGTTTTGGTTTTTTTCCACAATTTAACTTCAGGTCACAGTCTCTTTAAACAGAGCCAGGTTAGAGTGATTCTGTGCTCAAAAAGTCTGTTTAGGACAAACTGAATGGCACATTCAGCTACACATGAGCATAACTGAGTATTAGACAAACATTATTTACACCGCTTGTGTGAATGTTCAACGTGAAACCTATAACCTGCAAGCCCAGTATCATGCTCTGGTCAATCCTGTCCCAAACATCAAGCTACGCCCGTGATCTGATCAGATATTCAGCTCAGAGTGATCAGATCTGATTGTTTCATCTCCTGTGTTGTCAGGCTCTTCTCTGATCGTCTCTCTGGTTCTGGTTCTTCTGGTTCTGATCACTGTTGGTCTCTTATTACTGTTTCTCTGTAAGAAGCATCAGTCTCGAGGTAAAGCTCCTTCTTAATGTCTTTAGATGCAGAAACTACATTATACTGAGTTTAAAATGCAAAGATTTGTTGATCTGTAATCCCACTTTGAGTCTGTCGCCACCTACAGCCTGCAATGAGACATGAGCAAAATACAGATATTTGATGATGTGTGAAAGCATTTCCATTAGACACCAGTGTTGAAATGTGATATAACGTCATTAATTTAGACTCTTGTTTTGGCAGGCGGTGATTCATCATCTCAGACTGGAGCAGGAAAACCTGAAGCAGTCAGTCCAGTTACTGTATAAAATAAGATGTTGATTTTTATTCATAATGAGAATAAATTCTAATGCCTCCATCATGAAGATATTCAGAGCTGTTAATAATTTTTCTTTCTTTCCTCAGGTTTCTCACACTGGATGTGATTATGAGGAGATTAAAGACTCTCACAAACAATTACCCATTTTTTTTTTTTCCCACAATTTAACCTCAGGTCACAGTCTCTTTAAACAGAGCCAGTTTAGAGTGATTCTGTGCTCAAAAAGTCTGTTTAGGACAAACTGAATGGCACATTCAGCTACACATGAGCATAACTGAGTATAAGACAAGAACATTATTTACACCGCTTGTGTGAATGTTCAACGTGAAACCTATAACCTGCAAGCCCAGTATCATGCTCTGGTCAATCCTGCCCCAAACATCAAGCTACGCCCGTGATCTGATCAGATATTCAGCTCAGATTGATCTGAGCTGATTGTTTCATCTCCTGTGTTTTCAGGCTCTTCTCTGATCATCTCTCTGGTTCTGGTTCTTCTGGTTCTGATCATCGTTGGTCTCTTATTACTGTTTCTCTGTAAGAAGCATCAGTCTCGAGGTAAAAGCTCCTTCTTAATGCCTTTAGATGCAGAAACTCCATTATACTGAGTTTAAAATGCAAAGATTTGTTGATCTGTATTCCCACTTTGAGTCTGTCGCCATCTACAGGCTGCAATGAGACATGAGCAAAATGTAATTTAGTTGGCAGGCGGTGATTCATCATCTCAGACTGGAGCAGGAAAACCTGAAGCAGTCAGTCCAGTCAGTCCAGT